AATAAATTTGATCTTTGGATCTTTACCAGACCATTTGCTGCTATCTCCATCTTGCTGCTATCCTGCTGCTATTTGTTCTAAAGAAGGCTCTACCCCCCTTTAGTGGGTAGCAGGCTGTTTCCACCTGGGCCAAGTACTCACAGTTGGCTCTGCAAAAGGTGAGCATTCTTAGACTCAACTTTTATTTGCATTTATTTCCTGGTCATAATATACTACACTAGAAGGATATCTTCTTTCTCTCTTTCTGTGTATTGAAGGAAAGGAAACCAGTTAAAGGGGAAGGTGTCTCCTGATGCACACCAATACGCTTGAAATTTGAGCCAGTCCTTCACTTGGCTCTATATTTGTGAGTTTGTTTTTTTTTGTATTTAAGAATTTGTGTATTATTCCTTGATATACTTCACTATTGTATCTTCTCTTATTTTCTGTTCCATGTTTATCTCCGTTTGAGATTTAAATACCCCTGGGTGTAGGTGTACAAAGTACAAATTTAGCGCTGCACTTCAGGGAGTCCCATTAAGTGGATTGATTTTTAACCACCCCCTTCTTGATTCTCCCATTCTTGCACTTGACATATTGGGTGGACTAGAGAGATCCATACAAGTGTTGTAGCTGCTATTCACTAATACACACATATATATTGCACTTTAAACGCCTTGGATACGCACAGATCACTTTAGATCCTTCATTTTTGATGTATTGTATAGATAATGTATTAAAAATATATGCCAAAAATGTAAAATAATAACAACAAAAGAAAACTCACACACAAACATTTCAAAACTGTGCAGAGGGGGCGGGGCCGGACCGCCGAGCTGGAAGGCAGCATGGCAGCTCAGCTCCTACAAATTAATAACTAAATAGCCACAAAAAGAACGTTTTTAACCATACCAAGGACTGCCAGCGCCTGTCCTCAGTGTACAGGGGACACTGGATCCAGGGTGAGGCTGGCTCCTCAAGCTACAGTCCCCAGGAGGAGAGACCCTTGATACCCTAATTTGGGCCTACTCCGGCAGTGAGTGGGGCGGACGGCCGCTGCTCCACTATCCTGCCTAACAGACCCAACCAGAGGACGGCAGCCGGGTGGATCTGGCCCTGTCCCCCCCCCCTGGACCGGTGGGGGTGATCCCGGTCCGCACCCTGGGACCCAGACCGAAGCAGCACAACCCGGGGGCCAACAGCACTGCCACCCAGCCTCGTGGCCCAAACGCCTCAACTAAAATGGCGGCGGACAGAAGGAGGGTATGCCCTTTCCACGATCCTGAGGGGAGCAAAGAGACCGCCGGGAACAAGCTGGTCCGACGTCTATTATGGCAGGCAACAAGCCACTACTACAGCAATCAAGCAAAAAAAAAAGGCTAACCACTTACAGCCACCCCTGGTGAGACCGCGCCACCAACTAACGACCAACCGACATCTCGACTGCAAGAAACTCACAGGGGGCACCGTTAATGCAGAGACTCATATGACCTTTAAGCGACAACGCTACTTCACCCTCTTACCAGCATTGAGCCACAAAGCAAAAGTCTCTCCACCAAGCCGCAAAGCGCAACAGGCGGACAACATCCACAAGGCTACAAGCGAATGGGCACAACAATGCTCCACAACCCACTGGATGATCCAACGTCCCCACTACTACTCCTACCGGAGCAACAGGTGGAACATGAACATGACTGCAACCTTGAACACTAGCGGCAAGCATAAAACACTGTCTAAATATAAGAGACTGCCAACATAAAGGGGGTTCTTCGTAACTCAGTCGTTTTTACCAGCTACCAGTCAGGAATACGGGGATCTGCACTTAACTAGCTAATAATGTTGTGTCTTTTTCTCGGGAGGTGGGAGGCATAGCTAGTTAATCTGGGTCCAGGGAAGTGCTTGTAACTAAACGCTTAAATACTGAAGCACCACATCTGGCAAGGCGCAATTTTGATGTATAGGCTCCATCACATATCAATCGAGTTACATGTTAAAACTAGCCTGAGGCAATTACCGTTGACAGAACCCTATTACTTTGTTTTTATATGCCATAGCCTGGTTTATTTTTCTCTTTCTCTTAAGCTATTATAATTCATCGACCGGTTGCTATGCCCTATAATGATGCCTGCCTATTGTTTATGTTAGGACACACACTAACTCGATAATATTATATCTAACAAGCACTAGGACAGGAAATGGACCTAATAATCTAAGTATGAGCAAAACTGTATTTCTGATATATGTGTAACACTACTAGTCTAAGCTGGTTTCCCCTAAGTTTAATAATTGTTTAAGTCAAATGATTGCTAAAATGTGCCAGGCATAGAACAACCACCTGTTAATAAGCATAACTATCAACAACTCGCCTTCATTTAACATGGATCGCATGTATTCGTACGCATACTTACTTATAAAAATGTGCAGCTTAAACCTGTCATGACTATGTTTACGTTGATATTCCTGTGACTGCTGTCGTGGCATAACAGGCATGTTTGTAACCCATAATGCACAACAAAAAAAAAAAAAAAAAAAACTGTGCAGAATTATTCTTATCCTGTAAATGGGGGTCCATCAGAGGTTTATGGTATATGAGATTTACCCCCAAACTCCGATTCTACGCATCGCAGAGGAGGAAATAAACATTTATATTTTGAGGTCTGAGAGAAAGGCTTTTTGCTAAAGTGAGTTTTTTACATTTCCCCAGTTATAAGCCACTGTCAGCAAGGAGACAGAATGCAGGGTACTATGTACACCAAAATATTTTAAATGCTGCAAAGTTGTTATGGTGCTTAGAGGGACCCTTTCTATCTCTCTGAAATTATATTATAAAGATGCTCTGTATTAATAGATTCTGTAAGAGTACAGGTTTTTTTTATTCACTAAACATCAAATTCTACTGATGTGTAACCTAAATGACACAATTTGGACTTATTACACAATGTTTCCAATGTGGCTGTGTTTTCGTATTTGCCTATTATTTTTATTGAAAATGTTTTCAAAACAGTTTTTAAACAAAAAAAACTGAGAAAAAGGGAAGAAATAAAGAAGGCGGGGGGAAAGGGTTTCCATCCACAAATGTACAGATTTAAAGTGTAATCTTATATTATATACATATATAAATAACAAAATACAGAGTGTAGTAATACATGACCAGGACAATAAATATTTCAGGGTATGTGAAACTGGTTATAGAAGATATTGCTTTTTAACATAATCTTCCCAAATGTGTCATAGAAACATAGAATGTGACGGCAGATAAGAACCATTCGGCCCATCTAGTCTGCCCAATTTTCTAAATTCTTTCATTAGTCCCTGGCCTTATCTTATAGTTAGGATTTCCATTTGCCTATCCCATTCATGCTCAAACTCCTTTACTGTGTTAACCTCTACCACTTCAGCCAGAAGGCTATTCCATGCATCCACTACCCTCTCAGTAAAGTAATACTTCCTGATATTATTTTTAAACCTTTGTCCCTCTAATTTAAGACTATGTCCTCTTGTTGTGGATGTTTTTCTTTTAAATATAGTCTCCTCCTTTACTGTGTTGATTCCCTTTATATATTTAAATGTTTCTATCATATCCCCCCTGCCTCGTCTTTCCTCCAAGCTATACATGTTAAGATCCTTTAACCTTTCCTGGTAAGTTTTATCCTGCAATCCATGAACCAGTTTAGTAGCCCTTCTCCGAACCCTCTCTAAGGTATCAATATCCTTCTGAAGATACAGCTCCAGTACTGTGTACAATACTCCAAGTGAGGTCTCACCAGTGTTCTGTACAATGGCATGAGCACTTCCCTCTTTCTACTGCTAATACCTCTCCCTAAACAACCAAGCATTCTGCTAGCATTTACTGCTGCTCTATTACATTGTCTGCCTACATTTAAGTCATCAGAAATAATCACCCCTAAATCCCTTTCCTCAGATGTTGAGGTTAGGACTCTATCAAATATTCTGTACTCTGCCCTTGGGGTTTTACGTCCAAGATGCATTATCTTGCACTTATCCACATTAAATGTCAGTTGCCACAACTCTGACCATTTTTCTAGTTTACCTAAATCATTTGGTTTATCCCTCCTGGGACATCAACCCTATTACATATCTTAGTATCATCAGCAAAAAGACATACATTACCATCAAGACCTTCTGCAATATCACTAATAAAAATATTAAAGAGAATGGGTCCAAGTACAGATCCCTGAGGTACCCCACTGGTGACAAGCCCAAGCTTTGAATATATTCCATTGACTACAACCCTCTGTTGCCTGTCACTCAGCCACTTACCCATTCAACAATATTGGAATCCAAACTTAAAGATGGCAGTTTATTTATAAGCCTTCTATGTGCAACCAGGGACGTTTTAGCCGCAAGGCAAACAAGGCATTTGCCTTGGGCGGCATTTTCCAGGGGGCGGTAAAAAAAAGCCGCCCCCAAATGCCCAGGGCAAATGTCTTGTTAGCCTTGCGGCTAACTGACAGTCCAGGCGGGCGGGCGGGCGGCACTGGCGAGGGAGTACTTCCCCTGAGCGCTCTGCTCAGCTCCCTCGCGCGCCGCCCGCAGAGTGAGGCTAGGAGCCGGAATATGACGTCATATTCCTGCTCCCAGCCTCACTCTGCGGGTGGCGCGCAAGGGAGCTGAGCAGAGCGCTCAGGGAAAGTGCCCCCTCGTCAGCCGCCTGCCAGTGCTGCCCGACCAGCAGCCACTGGACACCCAGAGAGAAAGAAACCCCCCCCCCCAGCATTCCCAAATGTAAGGAGGCTGGGGGGTTAAATTAAAAAAAAATGTGTTAATGTGAGTGAGGGGGGGCGCCTGAGTTTTGCCTAGGGCAGCACAAAACCAGGATATACCACTGTGTGCAACAGTGTCAAAAGCCTTACTGAAATCTAGGTAAGCAATGTCTACTGCACCACCCTGATCTATTATCAGTTGGGTCTCTCCCAAAACATCAGTTTGCACTGCATCAGCTATGCTCATCTGACATGTTTTTTTTTATATGTTCCCCTTCATCCTAAAATTCAAAACATTCACTTTTTTCTCTGGGGATAGTATCAGCAAGAGAAGAGGCTTTAGAATGGAACAACGTTTTGTCTGATCATCTATAACGGGGGTAGGCAACCTTTGGCACTCCAGATGTTGTGGACTACATCTCCCCTGATGCTTTGCCAGCACTATGGCTGTAAAAACATCATGGGTGATGTGGTCCACAACATCTGGAGTGCCGAAGATTACCTCCACCTGATCTAAAACGTTCCCAGGAACGTGTTTGGTTTTACTAAAGAGTGTAAAAATTTTATGGCTTGCTTTCTTCAGGGTGACATTTGCCACATCAGTTTTGCAATGTGACACTTTTGCAACTCATGCAAAATTAAAGTTCATAAACAGCAACAAATAGTGCAGTTTGATACTTTTTTGTAGATCACAATGACTTGAACATGGGGATTGCCAAATCTGGAGGTATGAACAGACGGGTTAATAAACTTTTATGATTTTGTTTTAGCCCACAGAAGACAAAAGGTAATTTAATATTTTTTTTTATTTTTGGTAAATATGATTTCTTTTGAATGTTGTATGCATAAAATACATTAAACATGTAATACAAGTGGTTGTGTGATCCATTTATTAATAGTGATGATTTAACTTGCACACTTATAGTTTCATTAAAACCCAGGGGCTCATAAACTGATAATAGACAATAGCATTGTCACCAGATACAGGCAGGACCAACTGGCTGACTATTTATAAATTCACACACAATCTTAACTTGTTTCTCTTGCCTCAAATAGAAACTCTTTGATAAATTAAATAATTGCTATATAAAGCAGTTGATAATGACAAAGTTGTACTTATGGATAGTGACGGGGATGAATTATTGAAAATGTGGGTCTGGGAGTTCACCATCACATTTTATATGGCATATACGCTGAACAAAATTATAAACGCAGCACTTTTGTTTTTGCCCCCATTTTTCATGAGCTGAACTCAAAGATCTAAGACTTTTTCTATGTACACAAAAGGCCTATTTCTCTCCAATATTGTTCACAAATCTGTCTAAATCTGTGTTAGTGAGCAGTTCTCCTTTGCCAAGATAATCCATCCACCTCACAGGTGTGGCATATCAAGATGCTGATTTAACAGCATGATTATTGCACAGGTGTGCCTTAGTCTGGCCACAATGTAGGACCATGAAAATGTTAAAGTCCTTTCAGATGCATTGGAATCTTATTTTAAAAATGAGGTTGACCTAACGCTGGATTTCTCACTATCGGGGATCTTTGCATATTTCACAAAGATTCTCGAAACTGACAGACCCAGTGTTAGTCAGGTGGTCGCATGGTGCAGGGGAGGCAAGTTTTACTTACCTTAAGCTGTCCCTCGTGGCCACCTTCTTCCTGCTGTCCTCTTCGTGCTTCATTTGCCACGTCAGTGCTTACGCGAGTACAGTATGGAAGACTGTGGAGGATCCAGCGAGACCGCTGGAGCCTCTACATTGATGGCTGATCAATTGTGATGGCTGGTGGGATTGGACAAAAGCTGACCTTTGTCTTATATCATCTTTGGAATGAGTTGGAATTTCAGTGAAGTTCCAATGCAGTCTTAATCAGTATTTCATAAAGAGGATATCGTTATGATATACTGAACAGTGGTAGAACTGTTTTAACCTTGAACAAAGCTAATGAAATGTGCCGTACAGCAGGGCTCCCTGATACAAAGTCTAGGA